CACACACACTTCAGATGCTTCGCTACGTCCCTGGTCATGAGAGTTGTAACTTTGGCTCACGTTTGCCGTCTGCAACTTTCATCTAATGCACTCTCATCTGAACTTTGAGCTGGTTCAAATTTTGATGAGAGTTGACAATCGAGTTTCAGTTCGTTTGACCGCTAATATCTAGATGATGACTCTCGTCAACTTTCATGCAACTCTCGTTCTCGTTTTGCCGGGGCATGACAAAACTCTCATGCAAGTTTTATGTTTCATTAACTCTAGCTTATTCTCGTTTGACAAGCGCTTTAATTAGATTCAGTACGATCGAACACCAGTGGCGTAGACAAGGGGGAGGGGGCAAAGGGGGGGCTCAGCCCCCCCCCCCCCAATAGGCTGAAGGACTGCCGTTGTAAAAAGATGAAATCCGGGTAGAAATTGGGGGGGGGGACGATGACTACCCATGTGACTAACAATCTCATCTGTTCGCCAAATTGTCTATAAAAGTTCTAGTCTTCCCTAAATCTAACTACAGAAAATAATGTCTACGGTGGTTATTGGTAAAAAGGCGTTTTAAAACTTCGATTTAACTATTTACACGCGACCTCAAATTAAAGATCCACAATATTGAGAAATCATTAAAAATCAGGTCTTTCCTGCAGTAAATAATCTTCACAATTACGCACAATCTCACCCCAGAAACACGGGAAATCGCCATTGAGGGACTCCAGATTTCAAAATTTTCCCGGGGGAGAATACCCCCGGACCCCCCTACAAAGGCCTAAGCCTTCGGCGTTCGATATATGCCCGCCCAAAAAATTATAGTCTGGCTACGCCACTGTCGAACACTAACCTTTCAAGCTCTCCTTTGTTGCCATGATGTCCCACTACATGCTCAGATGCTTGATTACCAGAAGCCATATTGAGATCTTTCTAGGTTAAACAAGTACCGAGTCACATGAGAAGATTTGTAAATTCTTACGTTTTAATATTGAAACTTGAGTCAGGGCGATTGTTGCCAAAATCTTGCGATCATGCACATCGCAGAGATGGGTTGCAACTTTCGCAATGAATGATTCCAGATATAGTCGAAATTTTGATCTAGAGAAGAAGAACGAAATACATTACCATAGCTGGAAAGAGCATCATAAAATGAGTAAAATTGAAAAATTTGGTTGCGAATTGTTGTAAAATGAGAAAAATATAACCCTGTGAAATATTCGCAAGTTTTGTATATATTTGTATTACGCGCGTGAAAAATAACAATTTCTGAGCCGAAAGTGGTTATTTTTACCGCGTGTAATGCAAATATATCGCAAAATTTGCGAACTTCACAGGGCCATATTTTCTTTATTTTACAACATTTAGCAACCAATTAATCTCTGTAGTTTTACTCATTTTAAGACTCTCTTTTTAGTCGTGGTGTTGGATTTCGTTGTTCTTGCCTTGATCAAAATTTAGTCTATAGGCATAGCTGAATCACCCACATTGACCAGATTGGTCAAGACTTCAGGTACTTAGTAGAAGTAGTGCAGTCCCATAACATCGTCACAATTGTCATTGAAAGTGTTTATGGAATTATGCAGTACATGTATGTCGGGACATCTCTAGTTATTCAAATAGCCTAGCATGACTGAACATTCAATTAACCTCGTCTCACTAGAGTGTGGACTCATGTGAAAAGACTGGAGTACGGACTCATGTGAAAAAGAGTCGATCATCACTCTGCCGAAAGTCGTGGGTTGCTGGATTTCCTCCATGCAGTGTTCCGGTATATAAAACACAGTTAAGAAAATAGTATTACAATTGTTGTAAATACTGATCAAATAGTCAAATAGGCAAAGATGTAATTAGGTAAGCGTATAGTATAATAGTTAGCCTGCGTGCAGGCCCAAGGGAACTTGATAGTGGGCCTGCAACCATCACCCCATGTTTTCGATTTTCGCCGGCCGAACCACCGGCTAAATTCCCATTGGCTAGCTGAGGCGATCGGTAATTAATTAACCTAGCCCATTGTGCAGGCACAAGGGAATTCATCACAAAGGCATAGACAAAGGCTCTCGATAAGCTTAAAATTTGAAAATTGATCACTTTTTTCGATTACAAATGAACAAGAACAGACTGTTTATTGTTTACTTGAAGGAAGACATGTTTTTGCCGTTATGCCAATGG